TCGAACCCGGGCCGCACGCACGCCGGGCGAGCGCGCTACCGCTTGAGCCACATCCCCAGCCCCAGTCTAGTGGTTTTTATAAATTAATCCTGATGAGTTAGTTTTGGGTGGTAGATCTGATTAGAAATCCTAGTTTTTATTGATACTGAAATCACTATACCAGGTATTTACAGTTGGGTATATCATCTATGACATTATTTTTGCAGAGTTATTATTATTATTATTATTTTTGAAGTGTTAGAGTTGCTTCCCCCTGACTCCCACCCGTTTGTGGTTATCTGTTGCTGCATAATAAACCACCTTAAAAATTTAGTGTGCTTAAAACAACTATTTTGTTGTATCTTACCTTTTTGTGGGGCAGGAATCCAAATTTGGGGCAGAGCTTTGCTAGGTAATTCTTCTGTTTTACATGGTATCATTTGAAGTCATTCAGTTGTTTTTAGGTGATTGTTTTTAGATGGTGATTGGACTGGTTTGGTTTGGGGCCATTTCCAAAGTGACTCAATCACCTGGTTGGCAGCTTGGTGTTTTCTGACAACTAGGATTTCAGTAGGAATGCACCAATAACCTAGAGCCTCCTCTTCTTTTTCATTAGATTACATCAACTTCCTTCTTGTATAGTATTTGGGTTTTAAGACTGATTATACTGTGTGTTTTGAGAAGCCTAGTAAGAACTACAAAGTTAGAGCCTAGCCTCAGAAGTCACATATCATAACTTCCACAACAGAAATCATCATTCAAGGAGTCATACAACCAGGGCAAATTTAAGGGGAGGGGAATTAGACTTCATTTTTTAGTGGCAAGGAATTTGTAGGAAAATTTATTCTGTTATACTCCTGAAATATTTTTTGAGTATTTAGATGACTATGTTAATATGTTGTATTGTTATTTTTTCTTCTTTATAACAAGGATTCAATTTATATACATAGCAAAATTCTCAGTATTCTCAGCATTTCTCTGATTTCTATTTCTAGAAATTGAATTTTGTTATTCAAATCTACATAAGATGATATCTTCCCCTTACTAAGTTCATCATCTGTGGCTATAAAATGATGATATTGATAATTATGTCTACTTCATAGGATTATTGTGAAAATTAAATATATTTTGTGAATTAGCCTTGTGCTTTATGTTACATGTTGTTGCAACAGCCTGTCTTTCTCTTTTTTTCTATTTCTGATATATGTTACATTTCTTTAAGAGTTGTGTTTCTTTCTGATCACTTCAAGAGAAATATTTTGAAATTATTTTTCTGTGATTTCTTGTTCATTTTTCAAATCAAATATATGGCAGCACTGATAAAACTTTTTTATTCCCGATACATAAATTGTTTAAACTATATATTGAAATTAAGAATTAAAATATATGTTGAATTAAGAAATTACTGTCTAGAATTAAGTAAAATTATTTTATAGCTCTATTAAACATATAAGGAGTTGAAACTCAGTTAGCTTTATAGCTGATACAAAATCATTCCTTGGAGTAATTCCTCCAAAGTTTTTTTCCTTCACATAATTTGATTGTACTTTTGGTAAGTTTTCTGTTTGTAGAAATTTCTTACTTGAAAATATATAT